GATTCAAAGCTTTGTTTCTAAAATAAGAAAAAAAAACAAGTATGATATTTAAAGGAAAAATTACACATTCGATGAATTATTCTTTATTAATGCTGATTTTTCATAACAAAGAATTTTAATGATGAACAAATACTTCTACAGAACTTCATTTGATTCATCTATTGCAAGTTATTAGTTGATAGATTTCAACATGTCTTAACATTTTTCTAATATCAAAAGAAGCGGAACTTATTTATATGAAGTACATATGACAATGAATGATCATTAAAATATTATAATTATAATGATAATTAATTTTGAGACCGATTAGTTATCCCTCACTTTGGGTTAATTATCCCTCACCATAATGTATCATAGACCTCTAACCAATCACACCTTAGGAAGGAAGTAAAGAGTACGAATCTCATAAACCTGGAACCGTGCTACCTCGTACATGTTCTTGTTCTTTTTATATGTTACGAGGATACTCAATATGAAATAGTGGCTGTGCTCTAGCCTTTGAGAACTGCACTGGAAATATGCACCCACGAAACATGAGAGAAAGGGAAGTTATGAATATGGAAGTTCAAGAATCCTCACCTCGACCCGAGAAGTAAGACATGTATCAGAAACTTTGAAGGAGTTATGATTGGACAACTTACAAAGCTCCCTCGCAATAGAATGAATCCACTACAGCAAACTTGTACACAAAAGGAACCACATGGGATAGAGTACGAAAGAATCTGCTGAATAGAAAATGGCATTCCTGATCCCTAGGGTGCCAAAACAAGACCGTCGTCAAAGTACTCGCGTGAGCAATAACATGAGAACAAATTGTGAAAACATAATCAAGATGAACGGAGGCTTTGGTTTTGGTGTCATACAACCTTCTTCAAATCTGAAGCGAGTATTCATTGTGGAAATTTGAGCTTTTCAATAAGAATTTCCTCGTTCTTTTGTTGATGCAATTTGTCGATGAGAGTCAAAAGGAAAGAAGGGACTTGAAAGTCTTGGCCTCGTTCATGCACTTCCGCCATGGATTGAAGTCAAATGCGAAAGAAGACTACACGATGTAATAGTTATGAAATTTGTTGGCTACAACAGAACCTTTCAAGCTATTTTTTTTCCCTCTAACATGGACGAGGGAGCACTCTTCTCGAGCATCCGCGATGTAATGCTAATCCGCTCGCAACAATAGGTAATTGAATAAGATGTGTGACACAGTTGTGTGAAGAATAATTAGGCTAAAGTGAATGATAACTAGTCGCTACTTTAGGTATCTTTATTTTGCTTTGATTATACAATATGAAAATAATTTTGAATTTTAATTCAAAGATCAAATTTTAGGTATTTATTCTATTTATAAAATATTTAAACTTCTATTTTATGTAATTCCATTCATCCGTAATGCTCCAGCTCTACGCCGGAGGTGCGCTTTGGGATGATCCAAGCGACCAATCTGTGCCAATCAAGCCACTGATGGCCCTCTTTCTCAGCCGGCGAAGTGCGCAGAAATCGTGAAGCCATTTCTGGTTATCGGCCATTTGTTCGGACCGGATCTAACGGCAAATGGACCACTTTGAATGTTGAAGTGGGCAAAAGGTAGCTGCAAGCAATTATCTGCTTGTGGGTCTCTCCATTTTGTTCTCTTGTTAATCCTAGTTTCTAAATTTTTCGTTCCAAAATGCGAATTTTTTTTTCTAAATTTTTTATTTTTTAGCAATTTATGCTGTGTATAAATTGCTATAAGCTCTGTTCATTGCTCGCATTTTATGTCAAAGTTGTTTTTCATTCATTGTATATAAAGCAAGTAGAAAGCCTAAATAAAGAACACTACCTTTTGCAAGTGACTTATCATACGTTGCAATTTCAAACATGTGTTGGCAAGTAGTGACAAAGAAATTTTGTTAAGATATTTCATTTGGTATAAATTCATGACTTGAATAAGTTAGTTAGTACTTGAAAGCTGCAAGTAGATATTATCTTTATGTTGCGAATACGATATAAAATTTCTGAAGAAGTAAGTATTATAATAATATTTTCATTGTGCAAGATTCTTTGCTTTGATATGAACCAATTAAATTTTTACGTGGATTCAAATATGAAACATGCAATCAGATCTTATCCTAATGTTGTGAATATGATATTCGAAAAACATTGTTAAGAATTATTTTTTAAATATTGATTAAAATTAATATGTAAATTTGATTTTGGATATGTAGTACATAATCAACTTAATCTATGTAAATATTTTTTTATTATCCTTAGATGGAGTGAAAAAACATGATGTCCTGACTTATTAAAAAACTCTCATGGTATGGAATGCATGAAGTTGAATTCTTCTTGACTCGACTTAGGATATTCATAATATTGTTCTGCACGATTTGATTAAACTTATCAACAACTCAAATTTATCAATCATATCATTTTCATAGCTTAATGCTATGAAATATTCGAAATTTACGAGCGTTATGGAGTTGAAAAATTAAGGATTAAGAAAATGGAGAGTAATTATTGATTGTTTTCAATTTACTTAATAAATTGCAATTTTATATCTTACTACTCAAAGCTCTAGAATAAAATCACATTACTCGAATTCAAAGAAGATTTGAACGTCTTGCAATTTGATTATCATTTGGTCATGCTGATGTGCAGGGGACCCACACGAAATTCAGTCCAGATGTTGCGGTGATCCAAAAAGGCAAAGAGCAGGCTGTGGCTTGTTTTCCCCATGCTTTTGTCCAGGACTGTTCCCTACATATGACTTCGTTGCAGACTTGGAATAGTTGGATAAACATCCAGGACGATAATTGCCGACGAAATACAAATAGACTGTCATACGGACAGCCAAATCAGAGCAGTATTGTGTAAGTGGTCTACAGAAGGCAAAGAGTGCAAATGTAGACCAGGAGGAGGTGTCCCACATTGTCCATGTGGGGTTCAGATTACAATTACAATCACAATCAACTTTATAACTCTGATATATACAGTCAGCTACAATGTAATGTAACCGGTGGAAAGATAAATTCTCATTATTTATGCATACAGGCCTTCACAGTACTTCATTATGTTGGAAACCACTTACAGTCCACTTATGGTGAGATACCTACGGTGAATGCAGTACTGTACAGTGAGGTGGCGTTTCCCAAAAGTGTTACAACATGTATGAAGTAGTGACATTTACCTTCAAGAAACAGTAGGAAGCGGAAACGAAAACCAAAATGTTTGCAACGAGGTTCTATGGGAGTAAAGTAGTATGGAGTAGTATGGTGTGAGACATTTGTCACTGTTTAGATAATAGCAGAGCTGGTTGGTAGATATTATTGTCTAGGAGTTAGAGTAGATTGTGCAATTAAAATCTTTCACTCCATTAAGACTAGCAGAGGTTAGGTTGGTAGATTTCAAGTAAGGGAAGGAAGATTCAGTTTTCAAAAGTTGAGACTTAGATCGTGTTGCTATGGTAGAGAGTATATAGTGGAGGAATTCCGAGTCCTTCAAACGAAAAGAGAGTTTGTGTTCAGGTTTACGTGAGTAGAGATCAAATGAGGTATACCGAGGATCCAATATTAAAAGTTGACCATTCGATAGTGTCGGTATGCTAGAGAGTATATGGTGCAATATCCTCGAGTAATAAAAACATGAAATGAGTTTGGCTTAACTCCAATGTCACTTTTTTGATAGGGTGATGAACGAAGTGTCAATTACAAACATTTGGAAAGTGGAGCATTTATTTGTGGTACACTTGTGTTGGTTCAAGATATTTTTGATTTGACACCTATGTATAAGAAGAACACGTAATTCACTCCTTGGCCCAATGTCGTATAATAAAAATATCGTGCCCTTGGGTTAAGGGTTTGTCCTTAGGATCAGGGAGAGGCCAACAAATTGGATGAACGTAGAAACAGTCGACTTTTAGCTTCGTCGATGGTCCAACCTCTTGGAGTTTCGACGTTCGAAGGGGAGAGATCCTTCTGTAGTTGCAGTCGTTGAGAGTTTAGCCACGACATTCAGTCTAGAATTTAGACTAAGGTTGTAGTGCTGGCTGGTGGTGGTCGCATGTCCACCGTAAGACTGAAAGGTTCCGATACTTTGCCAACCTCTGGTTGAAAGTAAGTCGTCGATCGAATTTTCCCACACTAAAGATGCGGTATCCTCTTGTACTGTCTTCCTCATAAATATTCTCTACCAAATCTTGCAGAAGTGTATCACACAGATAGACGCCATACAGTACCTCCCTCTGATACCTCCACCGCACGCACTCACTGTCGTGGGCGCCCTTTACATGCATGGACATTTAGCGAACGCAGCGCAGAATTTTGAAGCAATGTTTTTCTTCAAGCTTTAGCGCAAAGGTTTCCATTGGACTGGCCACCAGACTGATAACGCCGGTACAACAATCTCTCTGTGAAAGGTTGAGAAAGGGGACTGCATGACATTTCAGGTTGAAAGACTGACTCGGAATTGCTTTGCTGAAAAATGAAAATCCCGTCTCAGTCATTACAGGATCTGCCTACACCATGCACGGCCTAATCTAGTGTGTATACAGGACCAAGTCTACTACTGTATTGACACTAGCAGGCCGGTTTCTTTTGCTGGTTATGTGTATTTAATAGACATGTGATGTAGCCACACTCAATTACGATACCATGAATTAGCTTCGTGTATTGCAAGGAAGTTGTTTTCTTATTCTGCCTCTCACTTTAACTCAGGGTGCACGAGGGTAGAGATCCAATACGAAGGGAACATTGGATATATATATATATATATATATATATATATATCAATCAGGTAATTGGTGGTATATGTTCAAATAAAAGTTTTCGATTGATAACTCATAATACTGAAAGTATACTTAAATATAAAATTTTTTAATAGTTTTTATTCTTATATGTTTTAAGAAACCAAACTAGAAATCAATCTGTCATACAACATAGTAATATATCTTTAGTCTATCAAAAAAGCATATTCTAAGTGGCAGTATAGCACGTACAATAAAAGTTGATGCTACTGAGCTATGTTGTTTGTGAATGTTTTAGTGTTTAGATTGCTTGAATATTGCATTTGTTGCATGACATAATTTACAATATGACGCTATTGGGGCATACCTCGAGAGTAACGGTTCGCGTCATCCTTGTTGGGCTTGACGAGTTTCTTTTGGCTATATTGCTTCGTCACCCCAATCGTCAGACCATATCGGATCAGTCAACGAAAGATTATGCACTAGACAAAGACAAAGGGAAGGAAAAACTAGGCGCATGACATCTTTGCTATACAACCGATCATACGCTTTTACTTCATCAAATTACATTGGACCTAGTCCTGCATTTGGATGCTGGACAATTTAGAAGCTAGAACAGGAGAATCTGGTTCCTTGTGTCTGACTAATTTGTAGACTGGAGTTGGAATGCCTTCCATTCTTGCTTTGAGCTGAAGAGCCACATGGCGGCTGTAAAATCTGCAGTGGCTGAGACCTCCACTCAAAATCCACAAGGCAGGAACTGGCAGAGGCCTGTACATGTTTTTCAACTCACCGACCCAAGGACCGGGGTCTCCCTTGAAGCCCGATCCAAGACCCCAACACAGCCCCACTTTCTCGGCTGCCTCCTTGGAAATCAGCTTCTCGACGAATTCCTGCATGTTCCCATAACCTGTTGCATAGATGATCACGTCGGCCGAAACCTCACTGCCGTCGTCAAAAACCACCGAGTTTTCCTTCATCGCCTGGACTGTAACTCCATTCTTCACCCTGACCTCGCCGTCGGCGATCAGTTCTGATGCTCCCATGTCGATATAGTAGCCGGCAGCTCTCCGCAGAAGGAATAAGATAAGGCCGGATTCATCTTCTCCCATGAAGGTTTTGAATCCTGCTTTATGCAACTTGTCGTACAATTCGGCCTCTTTCTGAGCAATGCGAGCATAAATGGGGACGTTCAACCGAGGAAGAACCTTGTACGGCAAGGATGCAGATTTGAGGTCGAAGGCATCTGTGTCGAAGTTGGTATCAAGCTCTGCCTTTTCGAGTTGTGGATCCAAACGAGATTCCAAGAAGTCTTTCATAGTGACGATGTGAGTATGTGATTTCTGGACGAGGGTGATCTCAGAAGCTCCCTGCTCCCACAAGTCTAAGCATATATCATGTGCTGACGTACCTGCACCGATTATGATACATTTCTTTCCCGTATAATCCTCCCCCTGCACGAACTTGGAGCTATGGATCTGCACACCTTGGAAATTTTCTTTACCTGGAAAGCTCGGCATCTTGGGGTAGCCTGCTAAGCCGCAAGCAAGAACGACATGTGAGGGATGAACGACTACTTCAGAAACTTCGGATCCGCATTTTCTTTCCAGAACCACTGTCCAGTGGCCTTCCTTTTCATCGTAGGAGGCAGATTTGCATTCTGTAGAGCACCAGACATTGAGGTCCATCAACTTCCCGTAACACTCGATAAAGTCTGCCAGTTTTTCCTTGGGTGCCAACACTGGCCAGTTGCTGGGAAATGGCAGGTACGGATAGTGGTCTGAGAAACATGGTGTGTGAAGTGCTAAGGACTTGTAGCGGTTGCGCCAATTGTCTCCTAGCCTTTCATTTTTTTCGACAATTATGGCTGGGACTCCCAGCATCCTCAACCTGGCTCCAAGCATCACCCCTCCCTGCCATGGAAAGAATCGGACAGGTTCAATCACAAGAGAAGAAATATCTCATATTCAGAAATCTTCTACATCTAATGGTTTGACTTGAACACTAAGGTACCATGACAGCAAGCATAAGGAAAGAGCAAATCGGGCAGAACAACGAGACAAAACTAGTACCAGACAGATTCGGCTAGAATCACATGTCCGGATTGCTCATCTTATTTGCCATAGAAGTATTTGAGTTCTGCTACAAGTGTTGTATAACTTCCCTGGTTACTGGCACACACAGGGATCGATACTCAGCTTAATTCACCATGTTTGTATGCATTAAACTGTGGGACAATAAACATGTAGCCTTTTTTGAGAGGAGAACCGGTAAAAACATGGCATAAAAGGATCTGAAGTCAAAGAGCTCTCACCTGTCCCGCCCCCACGACTAAACAGTAGGGCTGTTTGCTTCGTCCCATATCGTGCTGCTCTTGCTGTTTTTCCTGATATGCAGTTTTCCTGCCTTTTATTTGACCCAAGGTGGGACCAAAAGGTCTAGATCGACTTATCTTCTCTTCGTAACCTTTGAGATCCCACATGGATGTCGTGATCGTCCAGCATTTCCCACCTTTTAACCATACAAATCCTCTGCACCAGGCCAATGAAGTTTCAAATTTAAAGGCAGAACCCATCAAGCCATTTGGTCTGTCGATCACATCCCCGTCAATCACGAACGCTCTCGGTTTCACCCTGGCCAGATTCTCCGTCAGCATCTTTAAAATTTCATCTTTCGATTCAAAAGTCTCGATGTTCCATGTGAAAGGTAACAAGTCTCTCCAAAAGCATTCCTGGTCATCAAATAGCTCCAATATTTGGTCCACATCCTCGTCTTGCAATACTGTATCGAACTCGGACAACCATGAAGTAATTTTCTGACCTGCGCTCAACTCCTCCGATCCCATTGTCAAGTACTGTACTAATCTTCGATTCGAGAAGAGCTTGAAAGCAGTTTTTCTATGTAAGAGTCAAATACGTCGAGCTCTCGCTGGTATCCCTCTGCATACTCTTATGCCTACGCTCGCATGGCGTTCATGAACGCAGATTTGCAGAACTTCGAAGAGATACCAACCATCTCTCAGGTTCCGTGCAGGAAACACCATCAGAACTGTGCCATCGAAACCATATGTTCAGAAACATATGTAACTCTAACATCAGATTGAAAGTCGGGAATGTCTCGGGGTCTTCATTTAAGTAGATATATCTGGGCCCACGAAGACCGTGGCTCATGAGAAAGTCTCGTTGATATTTACAATCCCGGGGAGGTAAATGGTAATAGATCAAGCCCAAAGGGTCAAAAACACAAAACAAGGGAAAAGACCCCAAAGTTCTCTACATATAGATGTAGAAATTCTCTACATCTATAGATCTAACATGAGTCAAAAATATCATTTGGAATTTGCGGATAAGAGCGAGTATCCAGACCTTGCAAGCAATAATACCTGACTTGGACACATGAAATTTCAAACTCGGACGATTGACTATTCACATTTGCATTTTGCTTTCGTTGCAATGTGCAAGGAAACAATTGAGGGAAGTGGTTGATATTATATCTGCTGATTTGTTTTTCCCACCACTCATTTTAATTCTCACCAGTTCCGTATAGGACCTATTGATTCCCCCTTTTCCTTCCACCAAAAAGCTGCAACCCAAATCTGGTTACAACAAAAATACAGTAAATAAATAAAGTAACAGGCTGAATAAATGAAAGCTAAGTCAGGTTTTATATTATTATGTGCAGCTTTACAGAAAAGCAGATAGTACAGGCAGGTCCACTTGAAAGAGGAGCGAGCAGAGAAAAGCAAAACGTTTGGGAAGGTACATATTGATCACCGGATATTCGCACATATCATTAAGACTCAAGATAGTAAGACTTTCATCGGTCATCTTCCCATCAATCACCATATCTGTACAAGTGACTTTGTACTCGACGTCCTCTCTACTGTAGATCCCTCAGACCAATTAGTAACTAACTGTGATGGCCTTGTAGCGCTCCGAGTATGAGGTGGTGGAATTTCTTTGTGGTGAAGGTGTGTTCCTCATGTCCCTGATCTAGGCTCTTATCTTATATTTAATTGGCCTTTGCTTCGTACTGTAGTCGATCGTTGTTGCATCGTGCCTGTTGATCCATGCGTCTTCTTCATTTAAGATTCACGCGTATCGAAATTAACTGCAACATCCTGGCGTATGGAATAAAATCACTAGAAATTAGGCATTATTTTCTCAATATAGGATATTATAATTATTTCTTGATTCTGATTTTTGAATAAATACTAACTTTTTGTTCTGACGAAGATGATACAGTACAAGGATAATTATTCCTGACATCGGCATATTAGATACCTGGAAAGAGAAACTATTTCAAAAAGCATCTCTGATCCCTCTCAATGCGCAATCATTGTACACCTTGACATAAAGTTTTGAAACAGTTGCGAGGTTAAAGAACTTCATGTTAACTTCAAAGTTTGAGGTCCATATGAGAATCATGAAATAAACAAGTTTCGATCGATAATATGTGTTTTAGTGCTTTTCAAAAGATTACACTAAAGCCAAGGAACCATGAGATAAGGGATGAGTTTATAAAGAAATAAATCTTTACGGACATTTACTCTTGTTGTAAATGTACTCTTCATGTAGAATAAAATAAAGAGTCCATTTTCAACAAAAGACAATAAATTTACTAACCTTAATTGATTTGTATGTAAATTTCAGTTCATGGTATTTACAACAATTTTCTAAAATAGAACAAGTAAATTTCTTCAATTCAGAGAACTCCATCAACAATGTAGACTTATATTTCAATACAAATAATATTAAATTTATTTTATATTATTAATTTTTTAATATATGTTTTAGTAAAATACCAAAAAAATCAAATAAAAATCTAAAAAAAGTGATTTGACGGTATAAAATCAATAATATACAAAAAATTACTAAAAATTATCTTCGATTTTCAAATATCAGTTGAAAGAAGAGAAAAATTTAAATAAACTTTCTTAATTTTAAACAATGTGTATGTAGATTATCATGAACAATAACATCGTTAAGATATTGATAATATTATGAAATTGTTGATTAAAGTTAGATTGAAACTGGCATTTAATAAAATATTCATGATATAAAAACTATCAGTAGTAATTAAATTTGTAAAATCTGACTGAAAATATGTAAGATTAAATAGTTAATATTAATTTGCAAACTACATCCAATGTATTTAGCTAGTTATTATATTAAAAAATTGATTTAAATTTTTAATGATATTAATTTATAGAATTTTATAAAAAAATTATTATTTTTACATTGAATATATGAGTTCACATTCAATTTTTTTCTAAATGCAAATACCTTTTATTTCCAAAAGAAAGTTTTACTGTACTTCTTTTTTGCAATTATTTAAAATATGCATATATAAGCAATGACTTGACAGACATATTCAACAAGAAGAGTGATTGCTCATTTGTTATACTCAACTTACATATTTTAATTTTAATTTATTAAACATGGAGATTTTTGATGTCACAATCAGAAATAGTTTAACACTATATTCATTTTGATTGACTTTCATCTTAGTCATTCCTACTTAAAAATAGTTATTGATAAGTTTCAAAGTGCAAAAAATGATACAAATTATTAACAAAAACATCAATGCCTTTAATGATTTAATTATGATATTTTAAATTTTGGAGTGAAAATAAATAATTATTTTATTACATTTCATCTCTTAGTCTTATTATTATGAATTGACTCAGTTTTTTTTAATTTATCTGTCATATGTTTGCTTAATACTATCTCTACATAATGAATTTCAAAGAAGCTCACACTTTTAGGATTTAAAATGATAAAGCCAATAGACGTAGTTCATGAGGTTGGATCATATAATTCAAGTGTTACCTTTGTGTTAATGTTTTATGTTTTTATTGTGTGATTTTGGGTTGTGCGTGTTTGAGCTATTTGAGCTATTTTTTGAATTTTCCATGAAAATTAATATCAAAGCAAAAATATGGTATTGAGATGATGTGCTTAGACATATAATGCTGGATTATTCAGAAAGTTATATGATTGAAGTCATTAAGCTGGAGTAAAATATAACAACGTGAGGTAAGAATATCAACAGAATGTGAGAGAACATTGTTGAAGCATAAATTTTACTCTACACTATAATTTGCATTTCGTATTGGCATAAAAACAGCATCTACTGGAAATAAACCTTCTTGATATTTCTGTAAGTTTTCAATACGATATCCACGATCTTTTTCAATTTCTAATAAAAATATCTTTGTTTAAAGTTGCTATATATTGACTGCACGGGTGAAAAAAACCAATCCCATTTGAATATTTAGGAAAATATTCAAATGGGATTGGTTTTTTCCGGATGACGTTATCCCCATGCTAAGGATAATTTAATGGGTTTTTATCAACTTGTTCCGACCTAGGATAATAAGCTTCTCTAACATCATCATCATGATCATTGAGAACTATGTCTTGTGAGCTCAGATATTTAGCTGGATTCTGGTATTGAGTTGTACATTGAAGATATTTGATATATATATATATATATATATATATATGCTCATAGAGATTCTGAGAAAAATAAGTTAATATTAAATCAAGACAAGTTCCTTTGATAGGTTAAACTTGGCAACTTTTGAAGTAGTTAGTACAACTTTCACATCACACTTAAATATTTATGTAGCTCAATGTCTAATATGTATCATTGAAAAAGTAAAGATTTGATTAATTTTCTTTAACAAATCAAAGGAGTATCTCATGTAAATGATAATAAATATCAAATCTGATATTGATCTATTTATCGGCAAGTCAAACATGTATATGTCAAATTTATAAACAATAGAATGTAAAAAATATGTCAAGGATAAAAGTTAAATATCTAGCGAAAGCAAAAATAAAATATTTTCTTAAATAGAAATATCTTAGAGATGGAATCAAAACAAAAAATTCACTATTCATTGTGATAATTTAAATGTTTTGCATTTTATTGCAAATCAAGTTAGAAATAGTAGATTAAACAATTTGACATCAAGTTTCAATTTATAAAAAATATGATTTTTGAAAAGATCGTTGAGCTTGTCAAAATTGATGATAAATTCAATGTAGTTGATGCATGTAACAAAAATTTTCTTTAAAATATTTTATTAGACATTGTGTAACTTTGCAAGTTTTGCACCAAAAATAAAAATAGATTGTGTTTATAATTTCGTTATATATGTGAATTTATTAATTTTTTTTATAAAATTTAGTTTAGTTTGCACTGTAAACTATGTTAGATTATTTGTAAAACTTTTTGCATAATGATTGTTCAAGTTATGAAAGTTTTGATTTCAAGACATGAGTTAAGGGAATGCTATGTATTTATTCAAATATTGAGTTATTTCATGTTAGTTTAACTCAAGTTGGTTAAACTAATTACTCTATCACTGTATAAAAGAGCTCACAAAACTTTAAAAAATATTTTCCAGATTTGAAGTGAGGTGTTATTGTGGACACTTCCTTGTCTGAACTCCACCTCAAGTGCGAAATGCCTATCACTCGTAGTACGGTGCTACACCTGAATCCACTCAAAAGTACATCCCACTCGCTAGCCGTCAACGTCGATATATCTCCGATACAAATATCGAATAAATGCAGCTCCTCAAGGGTGTTACAGTTGTGGACATACTCCGTATGAGTGAACAACATGTTTTTCATGTAGGCTATGAGTGTGTGTATCGTTTTCAAGTGTCATATTTTTTGGTGTGTATTATTGATGTGTGCGTGTGTTTGGAGTCTAACCTATTTTCAGATTTCATGTGAAACTCATTATCTACTTTGTATTATTCATAGTTACTCTTTATTGTAAGTGATAAATAATCATCACAATGTAGTGTTAGCTGTTTTTCCCGATAAATAAATAACAACAAAAGATGAAAAGATGGTATATCATACATACTATTTATTTGATATGATATTCAATGATATCAATGGCATAATCACAAGAATGATAGTAGTTTAATATCTAGACAAAGATTAAATTCAAGGCTAAATGTCAAGATTGGAAGAGCATGGTACGTTCAAAGATTCAAAATTTGATAATTTAAGGAAGAAAAAATAATGTGAATGTGAATATTAAATACAAGTTTTGAACCAATTTAGTTTAAGTTGATGTTAAAGAATTTGACTTGTTCACATATGTCTTATGAATCAAATTATATAAAATAAAAAATATATCACTTGATGTATGAATTCTAGATGCTAAATAGTTCTTATAAATATCACTTTGTTACTTTAATAAGTTTTTTTTTCTTTTGTTATACAGTTCAGCTAGATTATATTTTAAATATATTTATAAACAATTATCAATCTTGTTAAAATATTTTTTTTGATGTATTCAAAATAAAATATATAAAATATAAATCCGAATTTATTTCTTTCAAATTAAAATATTTATATTTTTAAATATTAAATTGAAAATATCTTAAGTGAAATTTCAAAAACAAACTGCTTGAAGTATGCATATGAGACAGAATTCGTAAATAAAAACACCAACATATATGCTTAAAAGTTTGTAGTTACTGAAGATCAAGTAAGTGTGTGGTAAGGTTGATTTGAGATTTCACATATATGACATTTCAAAATAACACATGAACATAGAAGTTTGATATTTTTTAACTACAAACGACTGTTAAGTGATATTAGATATAATCGATTCAGAATTTTGCAAGCATAAAATTTTAGATAATCATTACATGATAATTATTAAGTTGAAATTTGTAATTCTAAATTATTTTTTAGTATATAGATAGTGAAATGTGAAAATTTTCATAAAATTTTATGCTTTGAAAATTGCACTCGGTCAAAATTCAAGTGAGTTCATTTTCACACACAAATTTTTAAAATTTTACAAAATCTAATAATTGGATAGCCCAAATTGAGATTTAAATATTACAAGATGAGATCATATACAGATTGTGTGAGATTTTGGATTCAATTTTGAAAAATTTCTTACTTTCAATATTTTAAATAAGTATATGTATAAATTATTTTTTGTTATTAGATAATTTTACGCATAAGAAATAAATAAAGATATTATCTATCTTCATTGACTTAAATAATTTCAATAAATCCATAGAATTTGAAATAAAAATTGGTATGGTAATATCCATGATAAATATTATCTTTTCATTTTACTTTTACAAGAAATACAAAGATACCTCGAAATTCAAGAAATTAAAAGAAATATTTTCCTTGACTTCCCTCCTGCTATCGTTACTGAAGTTGATAGTTAGTATCGTGGGAAGCATTATCTTCCCTGGATGCTGTGTATCTCGTTTTGTCTTCTATCCTCAATTTAACAATTAGTTATTTTGCAACACCTGTTAAAGTGAAGAAAATCCTTTTCGATTTATCTTGTCATTCATGAAGATCGTATTTTCAGAGAGCACCGTATTGAGAGTCAAACTAAGAGAGTTTCAGCTATGTGAGCCGTTTATACTCTATACAGATCGAGCTATTATCACCAATTATCAGTACCCAGTAAGGAAATAGACCAAGAGGTTGTCACATACATAATTGAGGACTCAATCGTGCCAGTGGTTCTTCTGCCGCTTGTTCGAATCCACCACATTCATTTCAGAAGTGCACTGGTTCGAAAGTGACTGAGCAATTCGATGTCGTTGGACAAGCTTCAAAGCTGCTCGCGAGCTCGTCGGTTGCAAACGACGCAGTCGAGTTACGATCTGAGGGAGTCAACCTTCACATCGTCATGCACCTGTCACAGTTCTTGTTGAACAATCCGTGGTTATACTTGAGCATGAGTCCCACATCTATCGTGTTAACATTCAATCTAAAAGATCACCAAATGACGGAGAATGCAATTCGGGCCTTTTTAAGGACAGTTCTTCAAAATGACAGAACACAAGATCGTCCTCAGTCTGCAGCTGAACATCTTTCGATATTCCGATGGAGAAATCACCTTCTATGGTCATTCTCTTTGCACAGCTTGGAAGACACCTGTTCCAAGGCTGACCCAATGCTCGACCAGCCCGAGACTTGCAATGCATAAACTGAAAACTTCCAGGAAACTGTGCAACCAAGCGATCTTGAATCGCTTGGTAGTACAAGATAGTCTCTTCATGAGGCAGCACAGAAGATCGCACTCAGTCTGGAGCTGAGCATGGAGCGATGAGAAATGTATTTTTCAAGAGCTTCAACCATTCAGTTTCTTCATAACCTGTAAAGCATAACTTGGGGAGTGGCAATGCTGCACAACAGTTTTCATTGAATAAAACATTAACCTTGAAACGAAAAGAAGATAAAATCCCCGATCATGTTTATATGTCGAAAAGTCAATTACCACCAGGTGAGAGTGTGCAGTGGCAGTTGCGGTCATATCACTGACATGAGGTGATCAAGAGTGTGCACAATCTCGGGCGAACGATCGATTCTTCATCTGAAACTCACGGATTCCGAGTCCTTTGACGAGCGCAGACGGAATGGCTCCACCGAACACCGAAAGGTAGCGCTCACACATCGTGCGTTGACAGTCGCAGGGGTCGCTAATGGTCCATCCTTATCTCCAACACGAACCAACTCACATTGATTGCCACCATCGCACTTTAAATCCCATAAAAGTCGGGGCTGTGAAGCCAGCAGAGCCACAATCCTCTCAAGTTTTCGCCCGAGTGTCTCCGTCGTGCAGTCGGCGAAGGGGTAGACGAAGTAACAGACTCACGGAGGGGCCACAAAAGCGGTCATGTCGGTTTCTAAGCTCACGCAGAACTGATGGCCTGCTAGAGTTGGGAAGACTCGCGTCCTGGAGACCGTACTTGAATGCCAGGAGACCAAACCCCGGTCTTCGCGAGAAAGTTCCACGGCAAAGCCTTCGACATGCTCAAGGACACGCACGTCAGCAGCTGCATTTAAGTTGATCGGGGTTCGAAGAGCAGCAGTAGGAGCGCAGTAATGTGTAATGCTTCGCAGTCCCGGGCAGTCGCGCGTATTGTGTTGGGACACCGACTCGGATTTTCCGACACCCGAATCGAAGTGAAAAGAGTGTGGGATTCCCTTTTCTACAAGCTTTCGAATTATGTCGTTGTCAACAGCTGAAATAGAAGACTGATCCGAGACGGGGACTGATGCGATTAGTTATGCAGTTAATGCGAGGATACCTCTGGAGTTAGATAAGCAGGGCATGCACCGTGCAATCAGAAGATGTTGCAGGTTATTAATATGGATGACAGGCAGCAGTCCTTCCTACAGAGTGGAGTGGTTTCAAAGAGGTCACTCTGTCTCCAACAATAACAGAGCAAAGAGATGCCTGCTAGAGTCTCAGGTTGCTTAAATTCCAGCTGAAGGCTCTGAATGCTTTCTAAGGACTGCTCAACGAATGTAAAGGTAGACGGACAGGACAATAATAAGTGATGTAAAGGAGGTTACCTGCTAGCTTTGGCTAAAGCATAACATCCTTCCTATTGCAAATCTCTCAGTCAGTGCACACGTCGCTCGGTCACATTGGGAAAAGGATTGACAGCTATTTGAGAAAATATGGGTTCGGGAGCCTATGTGTAGACCGGGGCGTGATTCTCAGTCTGGATGTCTCTTCCCCTCACGCTGAATCAGCTACGACGATGCTGCTGGAGGGCTCAATGCCTCCCAGCTAGTTAGATCATTACAAGAGTGTGACGTATAAATGTCCAAACCTCTCACATCGAATGTCGTCATGCTAGGACACTGGAGTAGGATCATGCTCGAGTTCCAGTCCGAGATGCTGCAAAGAAGATCCTGTAAATGAGAAAGAATGATATGCTTTCACCGGGTACTGATTCGACATAACCTCTCGCAAGATACTTCACAATGTCCGCACCTGTACGTAACCAGACATTGCTGAAACGGCTGAGGATAATCAACTTGCACTGGACGATCTTCCAATGGTACTCGAGCTGATGCTAACATCAGTCAGCAGCCTAGAACAGGCTACCGGCCGGTCCAGGCTTATGGGAGAAATGACGTCGGCACGATTCTCGTCAGAGAAGTTGTAGGAATCATTGTTGCCGGATGTGTGAAGATTTTACAAGTCGGGTCTCACACGCTTGTCGTCAGTTACTCAAATCGCAGGAATCCGGTTTCAGTCAAATCCCTCTCATGTCGGTACATCGGGTTCGCATTTGTTTCTCCCCGAGAGGTTTACGAAAGGCACAAAGGCACGATGATTTTGCAGGAGACCGCAAAAATATCCTCTCTCTCTCTTGCTGGTGCGAATTCGCGGAGCCAAATCTACTGAACAGCGTTGCCGCGCTTTACAGCTAATTGTACCCAGAGAACTTGCAGCTGCTAGCTCCAACAACTCTGGAGGTGAAATGTTCGTGACGTGCTTCGGTCCTTCACAGTACAGCTTGCAAGGAGGGGCGCATCTGTGGACCAGTGAGGAAAATAAATGAAGGGTGCATCATGCATTCGATGTGCTCCGATGTCGGCCTCAATTTGCCCAAATTTTGACCAGGTCCTCGTCACAGCTTCAATCGGGCATGTACTATCAAGTCACAGTCGATTCCTTCGTAATTCTCGTATAGAGAATATTCATTTCCGTCCGTCCGGTCGGAGGAGATGGAGGAGCTGCCAGAGTGTTCTAATACAGATTATGTAATATGGAGTATGCAGAGCAAGAGCGTGGATGACAGTGTGGCCGACTGGTCCATGAAAACGAGATGTTCCAGTCTGGAGTTAATTAGTGAAATTCGCTGGAAAGGCTTACTTGGTCAAACCAAACTCATGGAAAGAGGCGACGCAATTTCGCTGTTATAATCTAGGGCCAGTGAACAGCGAAGTTGGAACTCCATGCGAGTTTTGCTTTACAGAGAATAAATGAGATCGAAGCTCAAATTGGCCCACGTTTGTATCGAGGAGGTGTACTTCGCCATGGAGAAATTGACTCGAGTCAGTCGGACCGTACCGTGGCACTGCCAATCGCAGAGTTCTCTTTTGACATTATTGCCGCTTTCGTCCTCGTCCGTCTCGTCACTCGACGTCGGCTCGACCGGCGGAAGCAGGCAAGGAAGCAAGAGCGTTCCGACAGCTCGCAGCGATGGCGATGGGTTCCGTAGCTCACGGGCCACTTTGAAGTCAGGCCCGGTCGCCTTCGGGCGTGTTGTCGGGATCAAAGAGTCCTCTCGCGCTGACGGTGACGACTCGCTCTTCCGCCCAAGGGATTATGGGGAGCAAATCGAAAGCGTGCCTGCAGAGCGCAGTCGTCGAGCTGGGTGTCACTGTTTCATGCACCACCGTACCATCGCATGTACGTACGAACTGCGGTCCAAATGAATGAATGAATGACCGAGTCTGATTGTCCACGAGGCTCTCTTCTCTTTCCACACTCGTCTGCCCTCGGGACCACCGAGTTTAATCTCGGGGTGGGGCTTGAGAACCTCGACCTGGACGAGAGTTATGGGCCTTCAACACATGCAACAACAGTCCAATGCGGAAATTCCCATGCAGTCCAGATCGGAATGTCTTCGGGTTCGAGGGGTCACGGACGTCGTGCTTGGCTCGTCCTTCTTCATCGGCCGGGGTCATGCGCTTTCCCGGCTGATGCATCACGGATCGTGCATGCGAGACTGCACTCTTGGGTTGTTGGCGCTATCTGCCTCGACCATCGACCGTGAGGGTCAATCTTACCCTCACATCCTAAACCCTGCGAGTCACCTCGCAGCAGTGGACAGGATTTTGGATAGCCCCTGATCTGATCACACTGCAGATTTTGCTTTTCTTTCAGCATATTCTAATCCAGCAGAATGCATTTTTTTATTGCCTCGTGCACCGATTATCGTCATGCGAATCGACCAGTACTCTGCCTTCCAACAATCCGGGGCTCGTTGACTGACTCGTCGCTACTTTTGAAGGCGAGGAGATGGCCTGAGCGTTATCATCTCGATCGCTGAGCCCCGGCCAGCCTGCCAGCCTATGTTGTGATGCGTGTCGACTGAATCATCGGCTCGAGAGGTGTCTGTCACCGTCGTTGCTTTGTTTGGCGTTCTTTCCTGTCTTCGTGGTTATTTTCTGCTATAGCTGGGGACATGACCTTCTTCGATGACGGCTCCCGATTTCGATCCTGAGCCTAACCTTGCGTCAAGCTCTGGCTCTACGGCATGCACCTACGCGGTCATAATTCTAGTCCTCAGCGTGTCTTGTCGTTAAGCCTGCTCACTTCTGAGCAAATGAGAAGAAGTTCCCTCGCGCAAAGACAAATTCTTCATCATAATGCGCATCTAGAAATAGTTCGGGGCTCTTCAATGTTCCTCCATCTCGATAACGGAAGACTCTCGTGCCAACAGTTGGCACTACCTGCGGCTCTTCTGGCAGGAACTGCGAGTCCTCTGTTCGTGAGAAAGGGAAGGCTTCCATGTGTGAACGAAGGAGCAGTCGCTCTTCGCTCTTCGCATGTAATGGTCGCATGCCATGGCCTGAGGGCAATGGCGAACATCTGTTGTGCGGGCGTCTCGTACATTAAAAGAGCTCGTCACGTTGCGATCTAATACCTAACTCGCACCTCGCACCCTCGCATCCCGTCACGTTTCGCCATCGACGAAAGCTTGGCGCCACCGCACGGATTGCACGATCCGACTCACGGAGCTCTCAATTCAGCATCTGCGGCTTCACGGGAACAAAAGCGGCCGGAGGTACAACGAGCTCGCGCAACGGAGCAGCATATGGCAAAGTGCCTCAGTTATGGCAGCCATGGTAAAAGGTCGCCGTGGTTCGGCCCAGACTTTCTGCCCCCGGGCTGCAGGACACGACTCGCCAATGGCGAGGCGAGGCGAGGCGAGGCGAGGCCCCGCTTTCAGTTCGGTACCGGCAGAGCGAGAAGCGCCAGTGTCTGGCCTTTTCCAGAATTTTCGAGATAGAACATGTCGAGCTCGGCCAAAAGTGCAAGGGCCTAGAGCTCCATGGCGCATGAAAAGCGGCCTCGGCGCAGGCTTTTCGCATGTAGGGACGCCCTCGGCTATATTATGCGCGCGCTAAATTTATATCGTGACGAGTCGAGGCTGCAGAGAGCCTCCGGAGGCGCATTTACTGCCGCTTGTCCTCTTGCTTCCAGGAGGGAAGCCTTCGATAAGCCGGGCAGATGTGTCAGCGGATTGCGTCGATAAGCATGCTGCCGGCAGCGAGCGAGCGAGCGAGCGCAGCCATGTCGCGCAGAGCAGCCCCAACCCTAAATTGTCGAGCTCGGAATCGCTCATCCCCGCCAAAAAGCCTCGTCGGGCCGGTCCACATGCACTCTCCATAACTCCATCGCTAACCTAGACCAACCGCAGTCGGTAATGATGCTCGCTGGCCCTCACCATGGCGAGGGAGCGAGGGCCGAAACCACCTGCCCGGCAGAGCTGACAGAGCTGCCAGAGCTCGCAGCCAATGGGGGCCGCGAGAGCTCGCGCACAATCTTCGCGTCGAGGGGCCGAGGGCGGAATTAGACGGGCCCGAACTCGAGCGCATGGTAATTCCGGCAATAATATCTCGTAGTCAAACGCTTTCTAGAAAACGCGGAAGTTTTCCCCGAGCGGCGGCGTGGCCGAATGTGGGGAACTGTGGGCCTGTAGACTACGAGCGCGACGAGAATATCTCGACCGAAATAGCCTCGAATGTAGGCTCGCAGCCAAAATATCTTGACCCAAACCACTGCGCCAGTCCCAGCGCCTGGACTTCTCGCCCGACCCCGCTGACACCATGCGCGCCTGGTTGGAGCCATGGTCGACCCGGTTTGGGTGATTGGGGCGGGCAGGGTGAATGGTGAAAGGTGAAAGTAGCCGCGAGCCAGCAGCAGCAGCAGCAGCAGCGATGGCATGGTAGCGATGCAGTGCCGTACGCAGAGTATATCCCGTCGCTTTTCCATGTTGCTTTCCGCATCCTGGAGGATCGAACCTCTTGCATCACCGGAAATTGGGGTACCGTTCAAAAAATCGGTACGGGGGTGGCCGAGGAGCTCAGATTCTCGAGGCTCTGCTGCTGGCCAGTGTGTGTAGGAGTGTGGTTCGACGAGCAGAATCGCCTCTCGCATCGGGCCTATCGGCGCGCGCGAGCTATGGTGGTCTCGGTGGCAGAAGGTGTCTGAGCCGGATATGTGCTCGTGTCTGCGGCCGTACCTGAGCGAAGAAGGAGGAGAGAAGGTCGAGGGTGTCGTCGTCGTCGTCGCTCGTGGTGCGCGGCTTCGAAGGCGATAGAAGTTCTCGGATTCGACAGAAGGCGCAAGGCATGAAGAGCAAGGCAAGTGCAATTGGCGGAATGGCAGCTGCGATGGCCATCGCGGGCCGAGCGGCTCGGCCCTGCGATGTGTGCGGCCGCGAGCGCGCTCGATGGTACTGCGCGGCCGACGAAGCGTATCTGTGCGAGCCGTGCGATGGATCCGTGCACAACGCGAATGCTCTGGCCTCGCGTCACGAGCGCGTGCGCCTCTCGCCGAATGGCGCGCCCATGAAAATCGATCGCCACCGCAAAGACGACACCACCTCCACCACCTCGCTCGCGGACCAGGCCCCGCCCGATCGACTGGCGATCAGCTCGAGAAAAAAGCAGTTCCGCGACAACCGAGCCTCTCAGCGCGCAACTGCGCCCGCTGGGCCTCCGGCGACATTGCAAGCCACTCCCTCGGCGCAGCAGGACCCCGGCTCGCAGGCCTTCGAGGTGAAGCTCGAGAGGAGCAGCCCCGAGGACGCGCAGATCTACTTCGACGAGCTGCCGCGCGATCCGAGATCGCCTCTCGGCTCGCCGTGCCGCGATAGCAAAGGCGAGCCCGATTACGCGCACCACTTCATGGTCTTCGACGAGTGCGAGGTGGACGATGTGCTGACCCCGGACGAATGCGAAGCGGAAGGTGTGGCGGGCGGGCTCGAGTCATCGGCAGGGGATTTCGATGCGCTCGGCGAGCAGGAGGACTCGGAGGCAGCCGGGGGCTCGGGCATGGAGAAGCCCGAGCCGGGAATGTTTCTGCCGCTCACGAGCACCGCGAGCACCGTGCAGTCCTCGAAGGACGAGGAGGGCAGCCATGTTCCATCGCTGAGGTTGAATTACGCGGACATTCTCAACGCCTGGTCTGATCGAGGAACTCTGTGGACCGGGGGCCATGCGCAGACAGTGCCCGAGGATTCGACCTCCGATGCCGCGGCGAATCCCGATCACGGGGTCGTCCCGTTGCTCGCCGGCGAAGATGGCAACTCGGCTCGAGAAGCTCGCGTCAATCGGTACCGCGAGAAGCGTCGGACTCGCCTCTTCTCCAAGAAAATCCGCTACGAGGTTCGGAAGCTGAACGCCGAGCGTCGGCCTCGCATGAAGGGCCGATTTGTGAAGAGGTCCGCTGGCGAGCAATAACCCTCCGGATGCACGTCTGCTGCTGCTGCTGCTACGCGCGACGCCCATGCGAGTGAAGCGGATTTCGCCGGCCCTGCGCCTCTGCCACCATTTTATTCCATTCCATTCCATTGCGCTCCGTCCAGTGCACTGGCCTCACGGGCAGATCGAAGTAGCATCCACACAATTTTCTTGTCTTCCGAGTGTCGTCGGAGTTCACGCGGGGAGGGGGAGGGTCTGCATTATGGTCGGAGGATTGCCGTCGCAGCAGGTGTGCAACCTGTGGTTGCGTTGTGTCTCGACGCTGGAGAAATTTTGGACGAAGCGAGGAACGAAGACGGATTGAATGCTTGAATGAATGAATGAAAACAAGGAATCAAGGGAAGGCAGAGAAAGTTGTGAGCCGTAAATCATGGCAGCGAGTTGCGCTCACTTGTAAATCCCGTGTCCCGTGCGATTCTAGGGCGACCCAGGATTGGCAAGGTTCCAGTCACTGCACACGGGTCGCTTTGGGAGCCAGAGGAGTGTAGTATATGGATAGAAGGATTAATTTTATAGGAACGGGAAGACGATTCCCTGTATATTTCTGCACATTTTGTATAAAGTGGGATGAGTTTCCCTTGAGAGACATTTGATTCGCACTTTGAAGAGCCGTTTGCTCTTCAATCGCTCGCCCAACTTATCGTCATCGGTGACATTGGGCCGAGCGGGATTGACAGTCATGCTTGCAGGAATATTTACAAGCGCTTCAACACCCGCAGAATTACTTCCGACATCACGAGGCGGATGATATTTTGAGCCATGCAAGTCGATGGCTTTGCCCTGTTAGTGTCATTGGCTCCATCTGGCGGTATTGAGGGTAGAGTTGGTCTTCCTTCGTGTCGTACATGTTGCCTCCTGAGTCGGAATTGGCTTTTCGATCGCAGAGCACATTCGTCTGTCACTGTTTTCATTTGTAACTAGCAATCTTGTCCTGCTTGCTCTGGCATGCCGCATTCGAAGGGCATCACGCGCTCTTTCTAGCGAGGCCCCAGCCGTAGGAATACAATGCCACATCTTGTCTGGTCTGTGCTCTAACTCGGGCTTGATTGAACGGAGGATTTTTGTTCTTCCTGTTCCTAAGAATGTGAAGAAATCAATGTGTCGAAAAGACAGGTGCTCAGGAGTACCGAATAACCTCTTCAGTTTCCGAGGATCGTTTATCAGGATGTCGGACAGAAATTGCATCTATCTGAGTATGGCACCCGATACTTTGCAGAGAGTAATTTCGGGTACCTTAAAATAGGCCTGACAGAGGAGGAAAAAAAGCAGCGTATCAGTTCTTGTTGCACTCCTCATGCAATACTTGAAAATGGCTCTGTCGACTACGCTGGAAACGAGGGCAGGGATGATATGGGATCGAGTGGACGACGGCTGAGCACATGCGTTCAAGAAGGCCGATGTACTCGAGGAGGATAAGGCTTACAGTATGTGGGATTCTTCGGTCCTGTTAGGATTTTGTTGGTATATGGCCCACATTCTAAAGTTCAGAAAGAGTAACAGCTGAAAAGCTTCAAGATGACTGGATGTCTTGACTGAGAACTTAGATGGCCAGTTCTCCTTGACAGATACTGCTCAATCGACAGCCAAAACAGTTCGTGGGCCATCAAAATTCCCCCTACTCGTGCCATTTGAGTTCATTTGAAAGTCTGTATCTTATCTTGCTTGCAGATCGTTTTAGGTCGTCTCTCCAGTTTGCTTCCGGGTGCAAATTAGTGAACAAGCTTCAGAGACATGCCCTGAGACAACATTGGAGCCCAAATCAACTGTCATTACGCGACATTTGATATCAAGACCTAAGTGTCAATTCTAGAAACATAAGTCAGGTACTCATTTTGCTGCATATCATGTGTCGATTTGACTGAGATCCCTACTCACCCTGCTAGCGTTCACTTGTCGGTCTCTGATGATAAAGCGACCTGCTTTGGCGAAATCGACACACACATTCAATGCCTTGGAAAGGTATCACAGTTCAGTGAGCACGTTATTCGTTTAATGGTGCCATTTTGGACCTTATCTGAGGAAGCCTGTAGCTTAATTTGGAATCAACAATATGAATTGAAGAGTTAACGTGTGATAGACGAAGTAAGTTTGACACAGAGGGCTCCTATCAGTGAGTAAGCTCAAATGCACCTCGTTCCTCTTGATGAAAGAACTAAAGTTGCATGTTCGAGGATTCTATACTTATTAAAATCATTAATTTCTCAAGCTAGTTCACCCTGCTCACGGACTGTGGTAAAGCCTGAAATGATATTGGTATTACTCGTATTCAGCAATTCGAATTCGAGGACCTCTCGAACTCACTCGTGCCCTTATGAGGTGTAATTTCTCGGATGACAGGGGATTCTGGTAAAGACTTTCCAGTCTTAGATCTATTCACAGCTTTCCCCTTTCCGGAAAAGCTCAGCGAAATTAATCTGGGAATCTGGGAATGAGCCAATCTCCGCAAAGCGTACAAACAAATCGAGACGTGAAAACAGCGTTGGCCGGAAGCTTCGCTCGACTCTGTTAGAATGACAGCCAACTCAATCACACGGAACCCACTTCCCCTTACTGCATCCTCTCAGACTATGAGAAGCGTTCTTGCTGCCATGAGACTAAGCTCAGGATCCCATCGAGCTGTCCACATCGATTCGCCAGCTTCACTATGCATGTCGAAATCAAACGGGATCTGCTCAGTATGGCCCTCCATCAAATCACATCACCGGCGGGTCGATTAACTCGGTCAGCTCTACGGTGGGGCACAAATCAATACGAAGGCACGAGGTGCGTCCTTCAAGTGGAGACAACCAATGGGCTACTCTCGTTGAGCTCTCGAGGAACTTGCAAGAGACAAATTTCAAACAGGATCGCGGCTCCTTGTGAGCGGTCGAACACATCTGGTGAAGATGTCCAATCCATGGGGTAGGAGAAAGCTGTCAGGGTGGCAGATGTGCGTATCCAAGCGTAGGCAGGTAAAGTGCGGAGCACATCAGACATCCTCACCGAGTAATAGATCGACTCTCGGTGCAGATAAGCCATGGAGGAGTCATTCGAAGATGAGATCTCCTACCAGAAATTCATCTCTCCAAAATCAGCTGGACAAGGAGGAGTGTCGCCCTTAGGTGTTCTCATTTGATTGAAGGACCCGCGAGTGGATCTGTCACTTGACAGGAGATCATCGTCTAGATCTTCTCGAGGAGGTCGCAACTCGTTGCCAAGACGTGCTAATGATATATCCGATTCTGCTACCAAATTGAGCGAGATCATTTGTTTATTTAGGTGATTTCCAGCTAGTCAACTCCCATGCCCCAGCGACGCCATTGGACTCGTGCCGGAACTTTTATACGCTTTCAGGCTGCCACCGTTCATTGAAGACGCAGTCAACGGGTGCCTCGTTCTGGTTGGCCTGAGCGACGAGTGATTTGGCGAACACCGCTTGTAGCCATTGGAGCTACTGTTGGCAAAGTACTTTTGGCAAAGAGGTCCGAGATCCATATTGACTGCTGCAGTAACTAACTGGTTGCCAGCTCCAATAAGATGTTCCTCGTGGTTTCTACCTCGTGATAGTCTTTCACATGTCCAGATGTACTCAGAGAGCTCAGTCTCGGATGCTGTCAAAGATCCTGCGATCCAGTCTGCGATCCTCAGTTGCACCAATGTTCTTGTTGTAGGCTGCTCGGAGACTGTTGCCATAGCAACGCGCATGGACTCCTGCTAAAGCCGTCGAGCAGCCGATGAAGGACTTGTCAGCCTCTTTTCCTACTCCCAAAAAGCGTGTAGGAGTTTAAACAGTTTTTGATGTGATGGGAGCTCGACTTCAGAGTCTGGTCTTGAGTTCTACACTTTCTTCAGAACCCTCAAACCTACTCCTTTTTTCTCGTTGATATATATCTGAGTCTTGAGAGCTACGCTTCGTTACTTGTTTACTGCGACGTTTCTGGAGCTACATGGTGACTTACCAGAGCTCTCAGTCAAACCAAAAGTAGCAAGGAAGTCCAACACTGGCGCTGCGGTTAATTCATGGCTTCTTTGGTGCACTTGGGGGGGTGCAGGAAAAGATGAAACATAATTGCAATACGCACTCATTTGCTATCTGCAAAGCGGCCTGCACTCTACTCTCCCTGAGGCTAAATTCAGGCATGGACCAATCAGATCCCTGGAAACGTCAACTGCATAAAACCTTGTTTCGCTTCAGATTGCCATCCTAAGTACAGTAGGTGTTTGTCAGATGCCCGATTCTTCCGCACCCATTTGTGGAAAGCAGAAAAAACCTTTTGATGAAAAATAGAATACAATACTCTGACCGTGAGGGAGAAGTAAAACAGTCGCAGTAGATGAGAAGTTGTTCTTGTAGAGGTGCAGCAAATAAGTTACACTGCTGTAGTTCTGATCTAATCCTAGCTCGGATTCGGCCGAGCCTGGACGTCTTTGAGGCCTACGCGAATGTCCAAGTTGGCCCACAGTTGGCTCACATGCGTTGGGGCCGTTGTGAAATATCCGTCATGAAATCTGACTGTAAGCCAAAGGGAACCCAAGGTTTGAGCTCAGACAACTGGTCCTTCGTACAATCATTTGTCATTACATTACTGTCCTGTAAATCGGTTGGATCCGCCATCGCCCTTCCCAATCCAGAAGCTTAACACACGACGTCGATAGATAATCAGTCTCCTCAAATTCAGGAGACACAATTCTTGTGGTATGCATACACATGACGACGCTTCCCCATCGTACTTAGGTGATTGTTACTGGTATAATTCATTGCTTAATTGCTGCACCATTGAAAGTACGCCTTGACGATAGACATTGAGAGTAGAAAGTTTTCTATTGACGAAATGGAGATTCGTCAGTAACCTCCTTCAGTTTCCTTGCGAGGTTACATTGTACGAGCCTCCAAGGCCGAGATGAGAACCATCATTCACAAGGAAACCTTTGCAGACCTCTTCCGGCAGAAGTGCTGGCACGATATAGCCTTGTAGCCAACACAAATTGGATTGTCAGTGCCGTGAGAATATTGTGAAACCCGATCTTAGCAGTCTTCCTCTTCCCTCCATCCTCGCCGCTGGAACACGACACTTATTGAAGATTATCTTACGCAGCCTCATTCTCGTTCGCCTCCATCCTTCGAATTCAAGAGGACATCACGATCGAACTTCATCAATTGCTTTCTTCCTACGGCGTGCATCTCCATAGTCATGACCCAGTCCACAGAACGTTTTCGGCCGATTTTTTCGTTCTATTCGGCCGAAATTATCCACTAAAAATTTGTTCCAGCCGAATATTGCGGTTGAGTTCATTTTCGGCCGATAGCCGATTAGATGACGGGTAGCCGGCTAAATTTGAGGCCCTAGCCGGCTAGCCGAAAGTTCAGTCTTGTCTCCAGAGGGCCAACTGGTTCGACCCAAGGGTAACTTAATCTGAGTTAATCTGACCCTTGCTTGGGTCACATCGTATGACATGACATGACATGACATTCGCACGAGAACTGCACGAGAACTTTTACTTCTAGCTTTTTGCGCTTCCTTCCTGTAGAGCTCAGGGAGGACAAACACTCAAGTGGACATCATGACGCGTCTAGAACCAAAGCAACAACATTGTTTCGATTTCGGTGTTCGGATTAGCGCCGTTCCACAAAGATCTAGGATGCTTTTCTAAAGCAGTTTCAGGATTTTTATCTTCGCTGAAAAGTGTGGGGAGCCCGAGGACGAATCAAGAACCATTGGTGCATTTCCAGTGAAGGGACAGTTCATAGATACATTATACTTCGAAATAATTACCTTTCTAAAACATCACCGTGTAAAGGCCATCGCCCTTCCGGGAAAGTCTTCGGGGCTATTTAGAAAAATAGTTTATTATGCCTACCGTACATGCTATTTTCTGCATCTCTTTCCATATTATTTTTACTTTTACGAATTTTTTTTTTCTAGATTTAGTGAATTTTCAATATTGCGAACTTTGAGCATGATTTTTCTCTACATTAAAATATTTAAACACACATCAAAATCGAAATTGCAAATTTTCATAGTTTTCATCTTGCTCCAAACGATTATTTATTTGAATTTTATTTAAACCTCACTTTTGATACAATTCTTTTTGAGAAATATTTCATTACACCTTAAATTGTATAAATAAAACTTACGTTTGTTAAAACCTTTTCAATTACTGCACTATTTTAATTTCACTTTCTTTTCAGTAGATCTCTCCGTCTCGTTCTCAATAATTCTCGTGTTATCCACTCACTTTGTGATGAATAACCTTCATGTTCACTTTTAAATTGTTCGCATTGTTGTTAACAACACTCAAACTATTGCATCCGAGAATCAACCGATCAATCAGTTGAATCAACATTAGTCTTATCATCTATCAGATTAGAAAGTGTCACCATTCTAGGCAACTATACCATCAAGAAGTTTAATTTTCAGAGTTCTTAATGTTGCCTCTTGCTATTTCGTCGCTGCCAAATGTAAAATCGAGAAGTTTGACGCTCTTAACTCTCACCTCATTTGATTCTCTAAATTGTCATCGACTGTTGAATCAAGAAATTCAACTGTCAAATTTCTCGACGTCCTCCAATTTTCATGTTGCTGCGGACAATGAAATAAAGAAATAATCGAAAGAAATTATTCGTTGCAGTTGAGCGTGAAATTGGGTTACTGTTTGGCTCCTTGTGACTCCGGTTTCTACTTTGGTAAATACTCTTGGTCAAATAGTTCACAGTAGCAATGAGGACACCATTTATCAACAAAAATATATTGCATATGGTATAAGTGAATTATAGTTTATATTTGTTAGTACCCTCTAATTGCAACTTGATATATACCATAGATTTCTTGGTAGAGATTAAGACAAACCATGATAATTATCACAAAATTAAGATTTTCCATGAACATTTCATATGGGATTAATAACTAACCCTTTTTGTAATAGGCTTTACTATACTTGTATGTTTTTACCATCACTTCCTTTTATACCATTGTTCCCCTTCTTCTTTCATAAAATGAAAGATAATGAGTTGTTTACGATGCTCTATTGCTTAGGATAAAATAGAAGTGTATGAATTTGAATCCTTCATGAGAACTTGCGGTATCTAATGACATGATACATGTCCAACTTTCAATAACCTACCATGAAAGAATGGTTTTACGTGTTGTTGGAGTTCCGTTGGAGACCTCCACATCAGTACTTTGATGTGCGTGTAAAGTTTTCTTGCTGAGTTTTATCCTCATTTTTGTGTATAATACATTACTTAAGGAGAATATCAGACTCGGAAAGAATGAAAAGACGCACTTCCAAATTCTTGGCGACATCTGAAGGTAACCAAAAGGTCACAGTAGCATGCCATGTCGTCTGCTCGTCGCTGGTTGGGCACTAGTACCATGTGGCAGATGTTTTATGTCTTGCATCGATCGAGGAAGCACGCTCTCAAGTGTCCAGCCACCACCTGCCCAAATGTTGTTGTCTGCAGTTTGAACTCGCTGCAATGATGTTGTATCGAGTCGCATGAACGTCCATGGTTACGTCCAGCTTCCAGGGTACCATTGCAATGTCGAAAGGGCATTCGGACAGCACTATACTTGTCCAGCTTGGCCCTTCTTTTTCTCTCTCTCTCTCTCGGGAGGCCATGGTGCTGTAGGGCAGTGTCTGCTCATGTCTTCTCTCGGCCGGAGATATGGTCGTGTTGTATCCCCTTTAGAGAGTTCGCCAAGGGAGATGGCGTGCTCTGTCTTCGACAGCTGGCTTGGCTTGGCTTGTCTGGAGAGCAGAATTGTGATGACACGAACTTGCTACAACATAGCTGCTCTATTTGATGACGATAATTTGGACAAAAGGTTTTGCTGACTCTGATCATGAAAGCGGCGGAGGAGGGAAGGTTGACCTGCAGACCGTGAATTTAGCAAATCACATCGAATACGTCAGAGGAGTTCAGAGGAGTACAAAAGAAGTGGTAAATGGTAATAGACCAAGCCCGGGGACCCAAAGGGCCAAAAGGCTGAAAACCACAAACAAGGGAAAAGACCCCAAAGGCCAAGTGAAGTGCTCGTGCGATAGAGGGCAGACGGTAAATCAGGCCTGCCTAGGACGCATTGACCTGGTTGTCTCCTTCATTCCAGTAGGAAAACATTGGTATTCTGCACTAGACCTACGCAACTTCGATCTAGAAATTTGGATCGAGGTGCGATATGCAATATGTCAAACGTGCAAAAGCTATGGGCCTCGCCTCGCATGAGAGCACTGCTGGTTGCTGATGGCAACCCGAGTCTTGATGCTGATACCTAGCCTGCTGGTCACAACAATACAGTCCCAGCGTCTTTCATTCGGAAGGTAAGGTCATACTTCTGTCAGCTGATTGTTTTGGCTCATTAAATTACACTGAGCTGCTTCGGTGGCTGAACAATATTGGTGTCCACTTAAAATCTGATAACGAAAACAAATACTCAAGAGTGGCGAATATTTGAGGATTCCATTCCCTCTTTAGTACTGGAATAACTTCAGATAGGAATACACGAGAAGAACAGAGTGCGTAAGGACAGAGGACCTGAAGAAGGTGATATGGGTGGAGATGTTGCTCGGTCACGAATCTTTTACCGCTGTGGGAAACGGGTTGTGGACTGGGGCCGATGGAGCTTCAATTCACTCGTGAGTCACGGGATGTCTGAGTGTTGACGGACGGCGAAAAGACTGACCGACCGCATGATGCGAGAAGAACAGCCGACGAACGACGAATTCGAAACGTCAATGACAACCCTTTTACACCAATCAGAAGAGAAACGGCGAGGTTCAGGAAGCAAGCCGAACATCAAGGGCTTTGGCCTGTCCGTTTGCCTTGTTCGATTGTACACCAAACGGAATGCCTCTGGCAAGTCGTGTTCCTCGTTCATCAGGATGGCGCTTCCGTTTAGATTGAGAGAATCAATATTGTTGATCTGTGCAAACTCCAGAGAGCTCAACAACAAACGTCCATTGATTTTCAAATTTCAGCCTCCGCGATTTCGGTTCTTATTCTGGAATGATGTTTGGCTCGAGGATCAGACTACGAACGGCCAGGCCTCTTTCAACACAAATGGGCGTTTGACGCTTGAGAGGACGCATATCTCCCGAGGCTTAACTCCTAAACTCCTTGACTCACATGTGCCAACAAGGTTCATACGATCAGCCAACTCTCACCCAGAGGCTTGCCAATATCTGTGGATTGAAGTAACTTCTGAGCGACATAATTATGGACATGAAGTAAGATGAAGACTTCTGATCAAGGGCTGCTGCTGGAGATACTGAGAGGATAGTGTGAGTGTGAAGGGTGGCGTCGAGATGGAGGAGGACACGGTGGGCCCGACGTACAGCGGTGGAAGGTGGACACTGGACGAAACGCTGACGCTCGTGCATGCTCTGGAGCATGAGTTCGGCCCAAGCCTCGCCTGGGAAGCTCGAGCCGCCAACGAGGTTGAACTGAAGGTCTCGTTTCAGAATATCGAAAAGTACATGCGCCATCGCGGGTTTTCGAACAGGAGCGCCAACATCTGCAGACTGAAATACTCGAAAATGCGGAACCAGTTCAACAAAATCCAGGAATGGTCGCAAGTGAACAATATGGACTTTTGCTGTCTCAGTGATTCGGCAAAACGCGCCGAACCCGGCCTTTATTCCATGAACCTTCAGGTCCTGGAGCTGATGAGATCCATACTTGATAAATGTGGCGAGGCCCATGGCACTGAATCTGGACAAGAGATGGACTCGGTACTGGTACCAACTGGAGAGGGCATTGAACAGATGGATGCGAAACGAAGACGAGAAAGAACTGCAGTGCCAGATTTTACACCTTTCGAAACAGAATTTGCGGAATTTGAGGATTCAGTGCTGAAAACAGTAACGGAAAATAGAAACTTGGCCGGAATCGCTCATGCTGATGCTGGGATCTCGCCTTCTCTCATGGCGGATACTTCGAAACTACCTCCAGTACGAAATGAGAAAACAGATCTCCAAACAGAATCTGAGAGAAGAATGGACTCAGCATCCGAAGCGTCAGGACAAAGATTTCAAGAGCTCGAATTCAGCAACACCGATGCTGAAAACTGGATTACTTCGGTGGGGGAGATGTCGGAGCTTCCTCGTGCTGAAGCACAGACGGCCATTCTCCACACTGATCAACAATCTGGGAAAGAAATATACACAATTCTCGAGTCAACACATGAAGAAATAAAGGTGGCAGATTATGATAATGCTGGACAGATGCCTTTCTCTGAGAAGGTGAACCAGGATGAGCCTCTTGGACCAGTACAGGAGGCAGTAACTTCCTCTTGTGACGATGGATCTCTGAGATTCTCGATGGCAGCTGCCGAAGGTAAACATAATCTCACCATTGGTCTGTGCCATGTTCTTGGGCTACAATTAGGCAGTGATCAATGCATCGTCCACTTCTGCTCACTTATTGATATATACTCTACCTTTTGTCCATTAAACGGTCACAATGTAGGAGGCGGAAGACAGTCTGAAAGGAGAGAGATCCTCGGTGGCGGATTTGAACATCTAATCGACTCGGACCTAGCTGCCGGACCAAAGAGACTGACTGTCAAAAGACAGCGCCCCGACATGAATGCTGAACAGTCCAAGTTGAGCCAGGAAGCCAAGAGCAAGAAACAGCTGAAGACAGCTGAAGGCGAATCAGGACATTACTTTGAGAAGAAAGGAACAGAAGTTCCTGCCAACAAAAGTGAAATGCTTACCGCAATCAAAGACACTGCTGGAACTGGATTCATTGCAAAATCAAGAAACCTCACGCACGAGCTGAGAGAAATTAGATCAAAACAGCTCGAAATCACAAAGCGGAATCTCATGCAACAAAAAAAAAGGCTAGGAGCTCTCGCATCTGTTGTTCACAACGCTTGTGCTGTACTTGAAGGAAGTGGAAAGAGCTCAAACGCTTTCTCCACTTCACCGACTCTTTATAGAACAAAAGCTATGGACTAAAATCTGGTTACTATGAATTCTGGCGTAGATGAGGACAAACCTCATATCAGATAATGATGTAAGTGTTATATAGTCAGGAGGTACATACGAGCTCATTCATCATCATAACGTTGATATTTACAACTCACATTGTACCGATCTGTCGAATTTACCAGTACAAAGTTGAACACACATGATGCCAAGCAGCTTGTTTGAGTGAAATCAAGTGTCAAATTTGTTAATGAATGTTAAGAAACTTTTTCGTAGTAATTAACCAAATAGCATTTGAAATTTTTTAGGTCTTGATTTATAGAATAAAAAATAATTATCATTAACTTCATGTATAATATATCAGACATTCGATATTGAAGCAGATTTTGGCTTCTATCACCAAGAAAGAGACAGAACGTTATATTATTATCACGGTAACTGCACAAAGCACTCATAAACAGGAACAAGATTGTACTGATGTCTCTTCATGCGGATTGAGAGATCACATCCTTCTTGCTCATAGTTGTGGGGTAAGAAAGCCATACACTTTTTGGCAGGTTGTGCATCCATTTATCTGGTGAATGGTATGGCATCCGACTGTGTTCAAGTCCTTATTGTCGAGTGCTTGTTCCCTACTCAATGGAGCTCATGCATGGCTGTCGTTTAACAACTGGCTGTGCATCACTTTAGTGGGGGACATATCATTCTAATCCGATCAAGTTGTGCAGCGAAGGCACCTGATCATGAATTCTAAAAAATATTATAATTCCGGAGACAGCCATTCTCGAACCAACGTTTCCATTCTGTAAACATTAGGAACATGCAGAAAACAAGATATATAGTTATTTCATCCTGTAACAACTATAAATATTGTTTTCTGCACCATATATGATACTGTACCAACCGCCTTAGAATCGTTTCTCGTTTTTTTCCAACATTCCTGACAAGAGGTTTACAAGTATTGTATTCCAGGTTTCATCTAGATTGCTATGAAAGACTTGCCTTTCTTGTCTTCAGGGTTTATACTACATTGAATCTACTATTTGAACTTTCACTAGTAAATCCCGGAGATGTCTGGTCTATTCATACGTAGCTGACCAAGTTTGCCACTGCCAATTGTCAAATTGTTCACGCTTGGTCATCTGGCTAGCGCATGACAGCATCAGAGAGCCTAACCGAAATACCTCGGGCTTCCCAGAGGATTCCATTGAAACTCCCAGCTGTGACGCCGACTTTTCTAGGGATCACAAATCGACCATATCAGTAATGTGAAAGAACGTCAAGCTGGAAACAGGCAGAGGATATCCAAAGTTCCACGGAAGTCAAGACATGACATTATTGCTCTCCCGGAAGTGGACAGCATTTTCAGCGGACCCCCAAGGAAAGCGTACGACCCTCGACTCCGAGTCAAAACCATCGTCGACCAGTTCCACTACCTGGTTCGTCATTACAGATCCGAGGCTTCGAAGATGGCGAGAATCGACGGATGTAAGTCCAGACCTGACGTGAAGGCTGGCAAGTACCTCATGTCCAAGCAGTTCTGTTTCAACGAGGGCTGGAGTATGATTGGCAACATTCCTGGCGTTGAAGTGGGTGACTCATTATCGTGCAGACAAGAGCTGTCTATTTTGATAGTCCATCGATCTTCGCAAGCAGGAATCGACTACATTCCTGCTCATAACAGTGGATTTTTTGATAAGGATGGAAATCCACCGCCTGTTGCTGTTAGTGTCGTCTCTTCAGGGGGATACAGAAATTCTGATTTATGTGGGCTCTGGTGGCGATAAGAATCTCACTCACACGCGGCTTGCCGCACTGCACAAGGCCATCGAGAAGAATTATGAGTTGTTGCCGGGAAATTTAGCTGTGAAGAACTCCAGCGATCTCGGTTCGTGTGATCCGAAGAGAAAAGTTTTCCAATGGAGATGTTGTGAAGAAGACCTACCGGTTTAATGGTCTCTGTAGTGTTGGAAGGCACGGCTGGGTCCAGGGTTTGGAAGTTTCGATTGGTGAAGCAACGGAAGGGACAACGCGAGGCAAGAATTACTTCAGCGTCTGTCGGAACTGCAAACACATGGGACATGTAACGCTTCTGCTTGCTCCATCGATTTACCTCGAAAGGTGGTGTCTGTTCCACAACTTCAGCCTCCAACGGGAGTAGTGTCGAGGATCTTGATTCGGGAGAGATGATCTCATGTCTAAGGGTCCAAAAGTCTTCAAAGTGGGCACTGCTTTGTCTTAGTTTGACTCCATCGACGCTACAGATGGTAACTTTGGCTGTAAACTCCGAATTACTGCCAAAAAGTTGGTGACATTGGTGCAACTGGCGGCGATCTGCTGAATCGAACCTTGCAAGAGACGTCTATTTTTGTTGAGGCCAGTCAGTTTACACTGTCCATTTTAAAACCATTCGGCGCATGGATTTTGGTGTTTTGTTCTTAAATGTACTAGACTTTTCTGCGCTCCGCAACACTTTACCATTGTTCTTTTTTGACATTCTCAATGCGGACGACAGCATGCTCACTGAACATCGATATTCTTCGCACACCAATATAGTTACTCCGTGGCCTCTCAAATTACAGCGATTGGATTTAAAAGAGGAGCTCTCGGAAAAACACTCCTTCGAGAAAAAAAACAACCCATCAGATTTGTCTCGTAAACATATTGGTTATGAGTTCAAAAGCACATAAGGAACATGCGACCAACGTGGCCGGAAGTCAACCAATCTTTGAAGAAATTGGCTACAGAAAACCTTTCATAATGTAGAGATTGGAGTTTGGACAGACTTGAGATTGTTACGCGAAAGTCAGAACGCTCCTATCTGACAGCTAACAGAAAGGAACACTCTCAAGTCAATGCTTCTCAACATCCACCTCCTCCATATCCATATTCAAGCAGGATGTTCTTTTTCCCTCCATTTAACCCCACTCCATTTTACCAGTCTCAGTAGAAAGATTGTGGGAGCCGCATGTCATGCAGCCAGTGAAACTGTCAGATAGAGAGAGACATCAGACATAAGTAGCGATTAGACCAGTGGCAGGACTGACAGTGTCCATGATATTGACCATCAATGATGGTCCATCATACATCTCGGGCAATGGCTACACCATATCTTGACTCCTGTATGCTTCTATGGAACTATAGTTGAAGTTTGTTGAGGAGCATATACTGGCGTTGGCGAGTTTTAACTTGTTTCAGTCCTCATAAACCGATATGGCCATAGCGCATGAACTACTTCATTTCTGGAAGAATTTCTTTCACGGCCACACAATCGGGAGCTACTTTTCAGGATAATACTATTAAGAATAATGACTTCACTACTAGATACAGAGTTCCTCATTCAAATATCGGTTTAAGTTAGTAGATTTTAAATATCGAGGTTATGGCATTAAGTGTTGCTATTGTCGGCAAGTGTAGAATTGTTTAGGAACTAAGGGATTCTTGATCATAACATGTTCCTCTCATGATCTTCATGCGCGAAGACATCACTCGATTCATGCATCGGCGCAATATTCCCTGTACAGCGGCCGCTACCAGAAATCTCCAGTGAAATATTACGTCTCACCAGTATAGTCCTTGTACACCGATCCGGCAAGTTTTCAGGTTTAACCTTTCAAGTTGCTAAAACGCTTTTCACCATACTATCTTGACCTTCAAATATATACTATCAATATCATTTCTTTTTACGTACTAAACTAGATAACTTATTTAAAAATGTATATAGTTAAGCAGAAGATTTTGTGATGACAACATTGTCAAACCAACAAAAGGGAAGCTTGTGTTGTGAGGGAGTATGTAGCATAATTGGTTTGTGTTGTATTGAGTTTGAGAATCGTTGTTAAACTATCGTAAAAATTATTAGATTTGAATCTTGAATTCCAAAGGTTGTGATGCGTTTCAATTTAAGATCCATTAGTAAAACAATCGGTATGAGATTTGAATCTTGAATTTTGCCTGTTATAATGCGTTTGAGTTTAAAAATCATTAGTATTCGTCATTATGATTTATTAATTGTGAATCTTGAATTCCAAGAATTGTAATGAGTTTGAGTTTAAGACTCGTTAATATACCATCGTTATGGTTTATGAAAATTGGATCTTGAATTCCGAATAATCTAATGCGTTTGAATTTGGTATCCATTAGTATACCGTAGTTGTTGGTTATAAAATTTGAATCTTGAATTGTGAATATTCTAATGGATTAGAGTTTAAGATTCATTAGTATATCATCGTTGTGGATTATGAGATTTGAAATTTAAATATTCAAATGCGCATGAATTTGAAATCCGTTAATATACCGTTGTGAGTTATGAGATTTATTTTAAGTTTAAAACCTCTTAGTATAACAGTCGTGGGGAGTTATGAGATTTGAATCTTGAAATTTGCCTATTGTAATACGTTTGGATCTGAAACTTGTTAATAAAAGTTGTTGTGAATTATAAATTGTGAATCTTGAATTAAGACCATTGTAATGAGTTTGAGTTTCAGACTCGTTGGTGTAGCATCATTGTGGATTATGAAAGTTGAATTTTGAATGGTCTAACGTGTTTGAGTTTGAGTTCAAGACTCGTTGGTACAGCATTATTGTGGATTATGAAAGTGGAATTTTGAATGATCTAATGTGTTTGAGTTTGAGACTCATTAATAAACCGTCGTTGTGGATTATAATATTTGAATCTTGAATATTGAGTGTTCTAATGCGTTTGAGTTTAAATATCCGTTAGTAAATTGTCGTTCTTTGTTATGAAATTTGTATCTTGAATTCTCAATATTTTAATGAAATAAAGTTCAAAATCCGTCAGTATATCGTCGTCATCATTGTGCGTTAGAAGATTTGAATCGTGAATTCTGAATGTTTTAATGCGTTTGAATTTGACATACGTTAGTAAATTGTCATTGTGAATTATAAGATTTGGATTTTGAATTTCAAATGTTCAAATTCGTTTGAGTTTGAGATTCGTTAGTAAACCGTTATTTTGAATAATGAGATTTCAATCTTGCATTTTGAATGTTTAAATGCATTTGAGGCTGAGATGCATCAATAAACCGTTGTTGTGGGTTATGAAATTTGAATCTTGATTTTTCAATGTTCTAATGGATTAGAGTTTGAGATCCATCAGTA